ATTATTTCGATCATTTTAGATTATTTTCACTAGAATTCTTCCTAATTATTTCTACTATTATTCATATTTTTTGAAAGCTTAGACGATGTATGTTGGGAAAGCAGACTTTTGATTTCTGATTGGTCTTATAGCTTTCAAAAGAACCAGTTTTGCATCAATGTTCCAGCAATGCTAACAGTTTTAATTAGTCGAAAAACTGTATCAATTAACATTGAAAAACTTCGAGTTCTTTGTACAAGAAACAATTAAGATTTTTGTTTGAAAAACTAGATAAGCGTTTGCCTTGATCGGAGATTTTTATTAATTAACGGATGAGTTAAAATTCTAAGGTGTATTCATTTCTTTGAAAGTTCTCCGTGAGACATTTAAACTCTCTATGATTTCACTTAATTCATCAAATACTTGACATAAAACGGTTCAATTACACGACATTTCTCAAATAAAAAGGTTAATCTAACGGTCTATTGCGTGTCTATCCAGTCATCAAATTATAGAATACCTTTTGATTGACAAAAAAAGTAACAGATTTCACATAAGACTGCCACGAATTCTCTAGATTAATCCAGCTTAAAGATGTTTGATAGATTTTCCAATGAGAGTTTAACAAAATTTTGAACTCGATTGTTGCTTGCATTGGTTTTTCCGTCAGTTATTTCCTATGAAAAAAAGCAACAGATCAAATTATGAAAACATTTTTGATGGAAAAGTATCACATAAGGTTTGCTTTGAAATTAGACAGAACTTGTTTTTTGTTTAGAAACTGAAATTTTCAAATGCTATTTGTTTCATAAAAACTTATTATTTTGCAAATTTTTTATTAAGCTAATTGATCCCCATTATTTCATGAATATTTTTAAAACTCTATTTTCGTCATGTTGTCAATTTTGTTTGAAATCTCCTCGGAGTGCTTTCGAGCAATTTGCTTAACAAGATTTTGACAAGAAAAATGCTTCTTCTTGACATAAATGTTCATTCCTTGCTGATATGTGTATGAAAAATACAATTCTGATATCTTTGTGTGTAACGTCTAACACACTCAATACATGTAACTCTTTCAGTTCTATTCAGTGACGGCATCTCATTACGGAATTCAGAGCCCTAAGATAACTTGAGAAATAAAAGAATTGATTTTATTGTAAAAAAAATTGAGAAAGATTGTTTTCTATCTAAGGTAGCTTTAAAAAAACAACCAATCACAATCGAACTCCAATTTTCAAAAATAATTTTTAACAACATATAATCAACCAATCAAAATTGAGTATTTTTTTAGTCTTAGTTGTTCGAGATCAAGCAATCACAGTTCAGCATTTTCTATAAGTGAACTATCTTTTTATAAGTCATCATTTTTTTATAAGTCATCATTTTTTTTTGGAAAATTTCCGTCGAGAAAAATGTGAATTTCCTGGAGTTCCTTTACAAGAAAAAAGTAAAAATTTCCTTTAGATTTTTTGATCGGCGAGATAGTAACAATTGTTAATTTTTTTTCAATTTTGCACCGTCTAGGACAAAGTTATTAGCTTAAATAAAGGGTTTTTTTTCTACAAAACAAACTTTTTTGCAGATTTTGGATTCGATCCAGTAATTGAAAACCAAAGTTTTGCGCTTAATCTAACAAAAAAAAATTCATGAGAAAAAGCCTCAAGATAATGAAAGCATTCTATGACAAAATACTAAATAAATTTTCATTTCTTATCCAAAACCCAAACTTGTTAGATATCCTGAGCAAAGTTCTCTGCTTGTTCAATTCCATCGAGAATTCTTGCATGATAAGATAAATAATTAACCCCAGAAATCTGTGTTAAATATATCATCAATTGAACTCTCGTCTCGAGTGTTTCTCAAAACTAAAAAAACATGAGTATCTGTTATTGATTCCGCAGCTTCTACTAGATTCCGCACTCGATATCATCTCTTACACACAATGACGAAAAAGCCACTCCCATACAACACGGATCCGACTTTCTGGACTTTGGTGTCTTCTCATTAAACAACGTCGATTGGATTACTTTAAGCAAATACATTTTGGAACACCCATTTCAACCGTACTGCTACTCTAACATTGACGACTTAATCAACTCATGGTACCTCTGGCTATATACAGCACTAGAAAAACACATGAAAAAACAGACCAAACACCGTATGAACCTAGCACCTTGGATCACACCTGAAACCTCCAATATTATCAAAAGACTCAACACAGGATCAAAAAAAGTAGCCTTTAAAAATACTCATACTAATAACCGCAATCTTGAAAGACTTAAAAACCTTGTAGATCATTTATCCGAATTAGATCAGAAAAATTTCGAAGAATCAACTTTCTAGGGCAGAAATTTCTCAAAGCTCCAAAAATACTTTAAAAGCATACGAAAAAACTCAAGTACTCCAAAAACAATGTACTGGAATGAAAAAACCGAATCAACAGAGCACGGTTATATAGGTTTATAGGTAAACTTATTAAATAGGTTTACGTCAAAGTAAATAGATTTCCTCTTCCCTCGTTCAAACTGTGTGTTTTCAGAAAAGTTGTAGCTAGGAACAAGAACACCTTATTCGAAACGAAAAAAGTCCCGTCCGTTCCTAGCCGTGGATGGGTGAAAACCAATGAGATTTCACATATTCAAGAAATCGTCGTCGCAACACTTGTTGATCGGAGACTCACAATTGAAAAATCTAACTTTCCCTAATTTCAATATCCTCAGCCTTCCTGGTGCAGGTATCGCGGATGTTCTAAACTTCTTGTCCCGCAAGAACGAATACGATATTATAGCTCTATTCATTGGTGCGAACGATCTGTTTACGAAAGACAAAAAAGACTCAACGAGAACACCCGAAGACGTTGCTGAAGAATTATCCCAACTTGGCCTACGGCTGACAGAACGTTGCAATAAAGTTTTCATTATCGCTCTACCACCCAGACTCGGAAGACCAGCCCGAACGGAACGTGTAAACGATATTCTTCGCAAAAAGAAAGAACTCTGGCAATATCGCGGTATATCGAAAGGAATAACCACCAAAACTGTTCTATCTTCCGACGAAGTCCATTTAACAACAGCATCGCTTGCGAGTCTCCAAACGATTTTGAAAAGAAGATCATCTACAAGAAGTTCTGTGTAAAAACTGATAGCGAGGGCTACTCGAATATATACCACTGCGGCAACAACACTTGTCGGTGTCATCATTTTCACAGAGACTGAATTTTCTATTGATACCCTTTAGGTATCGCCAGATTTGATGTCTTTGTGAATTCACATCTATAAATAAAACCGTTGCCTCCCGCTAGTCATCAAGTTCCCTTAAGGTCCCAAACAACTGTTTTCATAACCCTAACACTGATACTTCAGTCCTCAATCGGCGCCCTTTAGGTACCACTCTGAGGACTCGAGTACACTACCTAAACCTTCATCCCCCAAACACAGTTTCCACAGAGATAAGAGGACGTAAACATAAATAAAACTGAGAATGTCAAAGGACAAAAAACCTTGCAAACATGCAAGAAACCCATAAACGAAAATGACCCAATATACAATTGCATCACCTGTAATTGCTCTATGCACCTTGAAGTTGTCTGCACTGGCCTCTCGACCGTTGCACTCAATGGAATACTGGAACTTGGTAACAATGCACTACTGATATGCAATACCTGTTTGTCCAACGGAAAAAGAGATCAAGTAATCAGAAGCACAGCATCACATGACAAAAGTGAAAACATCAAAAAAATTGAAGAAGAAATTTCAAAACTAAGTTAAGTAGTAGCCGAAGTCTCGACAAAAATGGAGAATATTAAAGATCCCATCCAAAGCCTGCCAATAGCAGAACAGGGTAAAACCTGGTCACAAGTAGAGGCGCAAAACATAATCAAACCCCTGAGCAAAGGATTGAGAATAAGAGGGGTCCCCGAGATCAAGGAAAGAGATGGAAGAAAAAGACTTGACCATGACTAGGATGAGGTAAATAAAATCATGAAATTCTTAAACCTCGAATGCAATATCACTGATCTCAAGCGTGTGGGAAAGTTCAGCGAAGAACGAGCAAACCACAGAACTATACTGGTACGAGTAACCTGTCCAAGAGAAATAGACTTGATACTATCATCAACACCGGCCCTCAAAAATTATGACAAAAATGTCTTCATAAGTAAGGAACTCTCAGTCGAAGAAATGAAACTGGAAAACGCCATCCTGAGAGAACGTAGAAATCTCATCAGCAGTGGTAAAAACCCCAAAAATCTTCGAATCAGAAACCTAGAACTGCATGAAAAAGTAGACGACACCTGGACAAAAGTTACAATTAAACCGGAGGAAAACAGCACAATTCAGACTAGAAATGACAACTGACTAGAATCGCTGAATGTTATGTCATTCAATACACGAAGTATACTGGATATAAATAGACGTATGAAACTTAGCAATATAATACTATCGAACGATTATGACATCATTTGCTTAAGCGAAACTTGGTTAACTGAAAATATCCCTGACAACGCGCTTTTTCTGCCTGCACACATAATAACTAGATGTGATAGACCTACCAACTCAACAAAATCGAAACACGGGGGCGTGCTTATTGCTGTTAAGCAATCCCTAGCTTTCACAAAACTTGAAATACACACTACGGACTGCGTTGGACTCCTCCTTAACACTGCGACACCTCTCATCCTATGCTGTATCTACAGTGCCCCGAACGAAAGCAAATATAAGCTATCCACAGATGACTTGAACAAACTATTGAATATGCTAACTGACTACTCAAATGAATTTCAATGCCCAAATATTTTATTGGTTGGTGACATCAACTTCGCTAATACGCATTGGCAAACCTTGCAATGAACCCAAAAACACGAACAATTAGTACTGCAGACTTTTACTGATATGAACTTTCAACAGTATACCGAACCCCCTCATGACCAATTAGATATTGTCCTTTGCAACAACCCTGACATTATTTTAAACACCACGATAGACAACCATATGAAAAAACACTTCTCACACCAAGAAAGAGAATTATCAGACCACAACCCTTTTCTAATCACGATATCATCTCTTACACACAATGACGAAAAAGCCACTCCCATACAACACGGATCCGACTTTCTGGACTTTGGTGTCTTCTCATTAAACAACGTCGATTGGATTACTTTAAACAAATACATTTTGGAACACCCATTTCAACCGTACTGCTACTCTAACATTGACCACTTAATCAACTCATGGTACCTCTGGCTGTATACAGCACTAGAAAAACACATGAAAAAACAGACCAAACACCGTATGAACCTAGCACCTTGGATCACACCTGAAACCTCCAATTTTATCAAAAGACTCAACACAGCATCAAAAAAAGTAGCCTTTAAAAATACTCATACTAATAACCGCAATCTTGAAAGACTTAAAAACCTTGTAGATCATTTATCCGAATTAGATCAGAAAAATTTCGAAGAATCAACTTTCAAGGGCAGAAATTTTTCAAAGCTCCAAAAATACTTTAAAAGCATACGAAAAAACTCAAGTACTCCAAAAACAATGTACTGGAATGAAAAAACCGAATCAACAGAGCACGGTAAAGCTAATCTTCTAAACAATTACTTCGTAAGCGTTTTTAACATTAAACAGAATGAAAACATTTTACCAATAGCTGAATTACCTGGCTCAATCAAATGCTTCAATTTCTCTGAAAATGAGATATACGACATCCTTAAAACATTAAACCTCCAAAAAGCAAGAGGACCAGATAGACTCGGTAACACAGTCCTAACCAATTTAGCAGATAGCATAACTTCATCTCTAAAACTGATTTATAACACCATCACCAACAAAGCAACATTTCCAACGATCTGGAAACTTAGCCAAATCATCCCAACTTTTAAAAATGGAAACAAGCAATCGGTCACAAACTACAGGCCCATAAGCCTGCTAACTGCAGTATCCAAAGTCTTAGAGAAACTGATCTTCCTTAAAATCTCACCAAAGATCTTCTCGCAAATCCATGACAGCCAATTTGGCTTCTGTCCTAAACGATCGACAACTCTGCAAGTGCTCCAATTCCTCGACAAAATCTATGATGACTTTGATAACCCTAATATCAAGTCTCTACAGGCAATATACTTAGACTTCGAAAAGGCTTTCGACAAAGTTCCTCACGACTTGTGCATATATAAACTCAATAAATTTGGCATATCAGGAAACGCACTTAAACTATTAGCAAACTACTTAACCAACAGAAAACAGCAAGTACGAATAGGTGCGGCAGTATCCAGCCATCTTGAAGTTAGTAGCGGCGTACCTCAAGGCTCACTGTTAGGGCCAGTATTCTTCATTACATTCATCAACGATTTACCGTCATCACTCACCAACTCGTGCTATCGTTACGCAGACGATTATAAAATTGTTGCAGCGAACCCTTCCCTGCTCCAACATGACCTAATCACGATCAACTTATGGTGCAAAGATAATTCCATGAGTCTTAATTTGAAAAATTGTCACAATATAATATTCAAAGACCCCCAACTTGACCTAAACATGTATCTCGGTGACCATATACTTGAAAAAACCTATTCAGAAAAAGACCTTGGTATGCAAATAACCAACAACCTAAACTGGTCAGCACACGCAAAACTAAGAGCCCAAAAAGCAATAGGATGCTTATTTTTAATTAAAAGAAATATTTCAAAATCAGCGAGCTTAAAAATGAAACTGAACTCCTACTGTGGATATGTAACCCCAATTGTGTCATATGGCTCACCCATATGGAAAGCAAATAAGTGTGAATTAAAAATTATTGAAGATGTCCAAAGAAAAGCTACACGTTGGATACTGTCATGTAACAACATCAACTATAAAGACAGACTGATTAGATTAAACCTGCTTCCACTGTCTCTCTACCACGAAATGCACGACATTCTCTTGCTTCATAAAATAATAAACGACCAATACAACTTCCATTGGAGACAATTTGTTCAGTTCAAAGAATCTACAGCCCCAACAAGAAGATCAACGAAAAATAACTTAGCGCATAAAAATTATCATTACGAAAAATCGAAAAGCAATTTCTGGCACAGAACACCTATACTAGCAAACAAAATTTTACAGACTCAGGAAGAAGAAGACCTGTTTGCGATGAAATACGAAAGACTCAAATCAAGCCTCAAAAACGTTTTCTGGATATATTTCATCAGTAAATATGAGGAAAGTGTCCCATGCACATGGAGAATAAACTGCTGCAATAGCTGTGTAAACTCAAAGAAACTATAAAACTCAGTTTAAAACTCCCAACGCGGGGCATTTTAGCCCCATGGCTTTATGTCTAAATCCTTGTTTATTATTATTATTATTATGATTATAGTCCGAAAGAAAAGTGAAAGAAGTGGTTCAGACTGATTACTCAAATTCTATTTTAGGTTATTTATTTTGATTTTTTGCTAATATTTGCAATAAATTTGCTGTAATAACATATGAAAGAGTTTTGC